ATATGAAAAGAACTGGATTCAGATCATTAGAGGTTCACAAACCAAACACACGAAGCTTTGGAGGCTGTCCAAAACAAAATCATGCCTAGGTGGTGATGTCCGTTCAATAAAAATTCAATGTCATAATTATCCTCTCACTTTTTCCCCAAAGAGCATTAGTGCTCAGAACTGTGCTGCTGCTCAGCCAATTACATTAATGCTGGGAGAAGACGGATAGGGCCGGCAGCCAATCGCTGTGCCAGGTCACTGCCTGCTGACGGGTAATTTACAATTATCAAGTAATTAGCAAATGCAGTGAAAATTCAACACCCCTCTATACACAGCGCACAAGAACTCATTTGAAAATTAAAAATACGTTTTAATAACTTCATTTTGGCTACAGCTACACGGAGAAAAATAAAGCCTCCTTTTTTCAATTTCTCCTCCTTTTATGACTGACAAAATGCTTTGCTGTCTGAATCCAGCAACCAAATATATTGTTTGACATTTCCAGACTGAACAACCTCTCCCTTATAAGTAAGTGTCTATTTAACAACAGAAAAGAATAAAAATGAAGACTGCTGATAATGGTACTATTCACTCAACCACTATATTGGACACTGTTGTTTAATTAACCATCTGATTAATATCCTGTCCTGGTAGATGGGTGATAAAAAGAATTAGCCAGACACCTATCTGCCAGGGAATGCAAGATTTTCTTATCTTCTCTATATCTAACAATAAATGACATTAAAAAAGCTAATTGCAACTAGTCAGTTGCACAAATGTTCTTTCCCATTAATGATCAATTTATTACACTGTTGTGCTCACAAAAAAGTACAGAGTTCCCACTGCCTACACTCACATTTCTAATTTAAAAACCAAAATTAGTGAAACATAAGTTCTTGATAACCTGGGTTTATTCACACACACACACTCCCTCCAGAAAACTACTGTATCTTCCTTAGTATACGGTGCGAATGTTGGAATTGACCTTCTCTAAAAAGGCAGGAAAAAGGCAGAAAAGGTCACCATCAACAGTGAAATCCAAGTAGATAAAAGGAGATTCTTACATTTCTTTGTCCCCTGATATTAAATAAATAAATATCCTGACTCGAAAGAGTTGGTAAAGTGGAAAAAATAGGAAAAGCTACACGCTCCTACTGAAACGAGGAAAAAGGAACACAACACCAAAAAAAACCCCACCACAACAACAAACAGTCAATATAAAGATGTACCACTTCTGAACACACTGGACAACACTAGTCTTGCTGCACTGGTGTCAGCTCTAGCTTTTCATCTTACATTTAAAGGTATCTAAGTCAGAGAGAAAGAGAATTTTAAAAACAAACAAACAAAATATATATAAGTCTGAACAACATCAACTAGAAAAAAGAAAAACTGATGGCATCTGACATACTTCTCTCTCCAAAAAGTACCAGCAACAAACTAAACTCTTTTCTAACTCTGGGGTTTCAGAACACGTTCACGCTGTCAACATAATAAATTTACTTTTAAAACAGCCCTTCACCCTCCTTCTGTGGGAGAAATACTTATTTCTGATTTCTTCTCTTTGCACCCCCTCTATTACCATAGTGTCAGAAGGGAAGAGAAGGAGAGGAGGGAAACCAAAGCAACGGAGAAAAATCCTCCACAAACCTGTTGCTGTGGATACTGCATTCCTCCCATGGCTGCCGCAGCCCGGCCCTGCATTCCCACAGGATAGCGCTGGGGGCCGGGAGGGCCGTAGGACTGCCCAGGATAGGGGCTGCTCTGCTGCGCCTGAGAGTGGGGGTTATTGCCCATGCCGTACAACTGGGGTCTCTTCATGACCATCGGATCCATTGGGCTGCCCTGTTGTTAAACACAAGCAAAGAAACACTTTAAGGCGTGGAAAGAGAAAGGTCAGAATAATCATGCTTACTGCGGGCAGACTCTATGTGTGTTTTCTCAATGCTTTATACATCAAATATTGACCTGACGCACAAACAGGCAAAGTATCATCCTCTGGTTCTGACATTAATTAGGCGAGGTTTAGAACAGTGAGTTTGGGACTTCCATTGCATTTAAAAAAAAAAATAATAATAATAATTTTGCACTCAAACTTACGATTGTCTCTTATCTATGGAAAAAGCAGAAAAAACGCCCAATAAACTTAAAAAATAATTAAGTATACTGTTTTAAACCGATTAGCATCACTGACTTTAATGTTTAAACATAAAGGAAACTGTGTGTATCAAGAGACACAAGCAGTGGACAACCCATTCAACCTTGAGAAAACATCTGTTTTCTTACCTTGGGGGGGAAGAAATAAAAAAGGAAAGTGGAAAGAAAACTTCCATGAAGTGCAATGCATACGGAACACTGTATTTCACCGCTTTCACATTGCTATCATGTGCATTAATAAGTTTCCAGATCAAAAGGCGAGTCACAACCCACGTTTCACATGGAAGTTTATTCGCCTCCTCAATAGACCTCAGAAAATCCAAACAGCAGCCACTGATGGAGGGGGAGGGGAGCCAAGGGAGAGAAGTTTTATTTTTAGACTTTTTGGCAGCACTTACCAAGCACTGTAACAGTTTCAGGACAGGTGTCAACCATTGTGTGGTATTACTCTCATGTTTTATTACTGAGGACTAACTGAATCAGAAAAAATATCTTACTCTGTCAAGCGCAGGACTGTATTGTTAATATGATATTCAGTTTTTAATTCCTGAGTGCCAGTTAAATTCAGGGAAGAAAGGGGGGAGGGGGGAGCTTTTAAAAAAAAGCTATCACAATCTCATCTTCCTGAAAGAGACATATCCCACACCCCCTCCTCCTCCCAATAAAAAGATCTATTAATTCACCCAGCCAGCCCACACCCCCCCGCCAGGAGCAGGATTCCTTCCCGTAGTGCATTTTGTACATGTTTTCCTACAGTGCTGTGACCAGTTTAATTTTAAAGCCCCCTATGCAACACAGCCTCTACAAGTCCTTTCTGGCTATTAGATGCTGATGCAATACTTATTATGACAATGAATTACATTTCCTCTCTTCCATTCCTGTTTCTTCTCATTATTGCTGTTTGTACTAACACCACACTGCAGCTTTCTTTACACACAAAGTATGTGCTCTCCAAAGTAGTTGCTGCTTAACAAACTATTGCATGTTGTTCTTACTCTTTCACTCCTGCAA